CAACAGCTGAATACCTGCCAAGGGAGATCACAGAGATGTGAACAGAGTGAGAGTGAATTACAAAAGGACTTTGGCTGAAAGCAAGAAGAAGAGGATGGATAAAGGAAAAGCTAAGGTAGCAGAGCCGTTCTGAGGCTGTTGATATTGAGGAGATGGAACAGGTCCATCATGAGGAACATACAACTGTGAGGTTCAGACCCCAACGCCTAAAAGACCAGGACTTCTTCCAAGAAGTCTTCATCAGGGTCTAAGGCTGTTGAACCTTCATTGGTCAAGAGGACAAGGTCTGCAGTGAAAAATAAACCAGTTAGAATTGCTGAGGATGAAGAATGGATAGTGAAGACGAGAGTGAGTCTGATGGTGAACAAGACTGATAGCATTCATGGCAGCTCAACATCATTAAAGGAGAAGGATGAAGCTCTGGAAGCTCCAAGAAGGCCCATGACAAGGTCTCAAACAAAGAAATTTCAAGACAAGCTTAATGGGCTTCAATTGGCAATTAAAAAGTGTTTTATAATAGAAGAAGAGCTCCAGCACAAGGAGGATCTTTGGGCCAAGTCTTACAACTATTTTGAGGCCAAAATTAAAGTCCAAGAGGAGATGGAATGAGGCCCAAATATGCCCCAAAAGAGAGGAATTTTCAGCAGCCCAAATAAGCCCAAAAATAGTTTCTAGAATATATATTTAATAGTTGTTTTAATCTATGTTGACTTGCATTGGCCTATGTGTATGTTGACTACATTGGTCTTAGTGTGGGTAGTCTTCTATGCTTCTAGGGAATATAATTCTCATTTATTGAAGTCTTGACTAGCTCCTTCTTTACTACTATATAAAGGGGTGCTTGTCTTCCATTGTAAAACATTATTGAAGATTAATATTATTATTGTGAGTTCTTTTGAACCTTTGTGAACTTTACTTTGAAGATTTATCTTACAACCCTAACTAGTTCATAGCTTAAGGTAGTAAGATAATTTTCTTTCTTGTGATATCTTTGGTTTCTTTTGATATTCTTCGAAGGCGACTAGTTTCTTTTACTAGTTATTGTCGTAAGTTATTCAAACTAGAAGTCAAGATCCGAATCTAGTTCTTGATTAGCTTATCTATAGTGAAGGCAATTGGTTTCATAACCAACTTGTTGTCATTAGGATCTTGTCAAAATCTAGATTAACATAATCTCGGGGTTCTTGGACCTTTCCTCGAATTTCGACATATCTAGTTTATTTTTCTTGCTCCGCTTGCATTTCTTTACTACTTCCGCATTTCATCAACTTATTTTCTTCAAGTTCTTGGATCTCCCAACCTTAGTGTTATCAAGTGGTATCAGAGCGGTTGTATCAAGATTCCGTTCTTGATAAATCTTGGGGATTGCTTGAACAAAGGAGCAAAAAAAAAAGAGATAAAAAAACAAACAAAAAAAAAGGAAAAAAAAAGGAAAGACATATTTGCTCTTCAAGAAATCAGATTTTTATTTGTGTTTGTTTCCAAAATCAAGGAAGGAAACAAGAAGAGGGGATCCTAATACTTTGATCTTGTTCAAAAAAAAAATTCCTTTTCTTTGTTCGAGATTTGTTTCAACTAAATCCTACTCTTTCTAGGATTGGTTCTTCACTTTCTTTAGTGCCCAAAATTTTGTTGTTTTACTACTAAGGGCTTTGATACGAGTTGGGTTTAATTATAAATCTACAAGGTATTTCCCAAAGGTTAATTGAGGGGAAAAAGGCAAGAGTGGATGAGAACAATTGAGGGAAAGAGCCAAAGTTTGAGTGATAACTATTATTATTATTATTATTTTATAAAGATGTCTCATACAGGTGTTAGTGATGATGAACAAAGGGCTCTCCAAGAAGCCGAAATCCGAGCAAGAAATGATTTCACTCTACAAGCTATGCATCAACAATTCGAGAGATGGAACTAGCAATTCCAAGAGATAAGGGATACTATTGCCGAACAAAATGAGACAATAGCTGCACTTAGGAGGGGAAATCAACCTGATGTACAACCTTGAAATAATCCTAGGCCTCTTAATAGAAGAAATGTACCCCATGCCCCCATTGTAAATCAAGAAAACCCTATAGATGATTTTGTTGATGATCTTGATGTAAATCTAGATAGGGTGGGAAGAGATAGGAGGGGACAACGAGGTAGAGTGGAAGAAGATAATATTAGCAGCATAAAAATGAAGATGTCATCTTTCAAGGGCACAAGAGACCCAGACTTGTACCTTGACTGGGAGCGGAAAGTTGAGGCCATCTTTGACTGTCACCACTACTCTGAAGGTAAGAAGGTTAAGCTTGCTGTTGTTGAATTTTCTGATTATGCTTCTATTTGGTGGAAAAAGCTTACAAGAGACAGACAACAAGATGGAGAACCACCCATTGCTACTTGGACCGAGATGAAGAGAGTCATGAGGAAGAGGTTTGTGCCTTCCCACTTTCAAAGAGACCTACAACTGCGTCTTCAAACCTTGAAGCAAGGAACCATGACTGTTGATGAATACTTTAAAGCTATGGATATGGCTATGATCCAAGCTAATTGT